GATTTGATCCCCGCGTGGTTTACATGATCGCACAAAAAAAATAATTTAAAAATATTTTCGATATAATAAATATCAAGCCTTTGTGTGTGTGTGCGTGTGTGTGCGTGTGTGTGTGTGTGTGTGTGTGTGTGTGTGTGTGTGTGTGTGTGTGTGACGCTTTTCTACGAAAAATTTTTCTAAATTTTTCTAAAAAATAATAGAAAAATCTCCATTTGCAAAAGATTTATATAAAAAAATAAACATATATAACAATTGTAATTTTCACCGCGCGGAGTTCACCACGAAGTTTTTAAAGAGAATATGCTTATGTAAATGTAATCGTTCGATGTCCATATAGCGCCTGAGGCATTTCGAATATTTTGTAGAGAAGAGACACTTTATTTCTCTCTACGATTGCACTTTATTTCACTTTCGAATTTAATTATCTTCTCGATAGCATCGCAGATTGTTGGCTTTATAGTTTAAGCAATGGGAGATAATCGACTTGCTCCTTTAAAGCATTATGTCGTAATACAGCCTCCAATTCGGTGGTCCGTCGCTCTATCCGAAGCTATTGCTTAACAGTTTAGTGTACATTATTTCGCAATGCGGAGATTTTGTCGTTTTTGAAAACTACAAAAAATGTCTTGTTTAATTAATTTAAATTACATTAAATTAAAATAATTCACATTAAGATATTAAATTAAGGTAATTCATTTAAATATTAAATTAAAATAATTAATAGTATTAAATTAAAATAATTGTGTGTTTCTTTTTTACTTTAAAAAAAAAAAAAAGGAAAAATATTATTACATATGTTGATAATAACGTTAGACGCAGACTTAATACGAAAAGGCGAGCGTTTTGTATGAAAAATTCATGTCATGTCGCATTTTTCTCTTCCAAGTCCAGACGGGAACGTGAGGCAGACAAATAACGTCGGTGAGATGATAATGACGGCTCACGATGATCGTTGTGGCAATCGTCACGTGAATTAGTTTGCGAGACGATTCTGTTGTCGGCATCCCCCCGGGGCACAGGTTCAAGAGACAAGTTCGTCAATGGGCTTCGCTTGACCCACATCGCGGTCGTACATCGTAGTCTCTTTCAGGACGCGCATTCTCGCTTTCGCGATCGGCCTGAATTGAAACGACCCAAACCGAACCGAGGTCGCAAACTAGTTCGATTCTCAGAATTAGATGTATCCGCTGAAAGATGAGGACCTCGGCCATCCGCCGGCATCCGTTCGCCGATGCGCTCCGACACGAAGATACACGCGGGACGTGATATTTTCGTCTACGGATTACTACACTGCGCGTCGCTTTGGCAATCCGTAATATATTAAATAACGGCTATGATAAGTGGCTGATTCGCACTCAGTTGTTAAATCCTCTCGCCGCCACGAAGAGTCGCCTATTAAATTTCACAGATAGATAAAATCGTTAAATCTCTCGATTGCATAACCGAGAAGTTGTACAAATATATTAATTTCATCACCCTGCATTTTTTATTTTGACCTGCCGTGACGAAGAATTTCGATCAATAGCCCAATCTTCAACGAGAAATGTCCTTTAACATGGCAGCAGTCGAGTATTAATTTAGGCGTTCGAGTGGGCCTCTTTCGTTTCTTCTCGAAAGTTGTTCGTGAGTGAAAATTCTCGGCGGTGCTGACGCCTGAGTGACCTTCGTGTATTTTTCTGAATTCGTGACGCGTGATAGAACCTCCGTCCAAATAGCAGTCAGTCATTTTACACGAATCGTTCCATGTGGTTCGGTCCTATGATCTCTCACTGTTTACAGATGCTCGCTGTTCTGCTCGGCATTCTGCCGATCCTCTGGGCCCAAAGGATCGGAGCGAGCGTCCTGGTTGCCGACACCACCATGTCCAGGATGGTGGAGCTGAACGCCGATGCACCCTTCTGTGCTCTTTACAACGATCGCGGAGTTATTCAGAGGATGGTCCTCGGTGCGGATCCCAGAAGAGTTCGACAAATTTCCAGCAACCTCGTCGCCGATCTCGAAGAGACCTGCAAGGCCTCGCGGAACAAGGGGAAGGTAAGATTGATTGCCTGAAAATTCTAAATTGTTATTTGATTCTTTTCCTTGTTTTTTTTTCTTTAAAGTTTCTTTAAAATTTCATTTTTCGAATGTTTCATCGCTAAAAATAATAAATCGAGGATTTAAATAATATTAAGTCTACCTAAATAAATTTAAAACGCGTTTAAATAAAATTGAGATATCTCTTTTATATTTTAATATCTATAATCACTGCTTATTATTTTTTTATTACTTCTTTATTACTTTTAATTACCTTTTTTAAAATATCTCTATTATTATGTTCGCAAATGACTGGTTTCTTTCCAAAAGATAATTTAAATTGAATGATATTTAATATTTGATAAATCGTATTTAATTAATTATTATTTTTTTAAGAATCAAGCGCCAGGTGGTGGTTTAATATATCCGGGTACCAAGTGGTGCGGACCAGGCAACGTGGCCAATTCCTACAATGATTTGGGACAACATGCAGTCGAGGATGCTTGCTGCAGGGAACATGACCACTGCCCCTTTACGATAGCGCCGCAACAATGCATACATGGCATATGCAATAACTCGCCATTTACTCGCTCGCACTGCGATTGCGACGCCAAATTCCGCAGATGTTTGCAGAATCTCAATACCGAGGTGGCCAATACCCTTGGCGCGCTTTTCTTCAATGTGATCCAAGTTACCTGTTTCAAAGAGAGACGACCATGCTCGCAGTGGCAGAGGTATGTATTGTATTTTATACAAAAATAAAATTTTGATGTTTTACAAATTTGATTTATTTCCACACGTTTTATATATTTATTTAATAAAAAGGAAATTTTATCGTACAACTGAGATAAACTGAAATGGATGTCTCATTGTTATTTAATTAAAAAAAAAATACAATGACTTTGACGTCCTTGTCCATTATACATGTAGAATCCTTTTAGCTGCGATTTATACTGGGAAAGGTCCTCCACTTATTTACCCAACGATTTATCGGAGAGTAGAGGATTTCGAACACCGCTGTTGACGACCTTCTCCTTCGTATTCAGAGACTTAATGGCCAGAGAGAGGAACATTTTTCGAGCCACGCCATTTATCTTTTGAATTAGGAAAGGATCTTGCCGTAAATGTTTTTTTTTTCTTAATTTTTTTCCAGCGCTTATATGTGGCTTTTGGTGACGATTCCATTGTAAAATTACATAAAAATTACATTGTCCATTAAATTTATCTGTAATTAATCTCTATCTCAGCGTGTGGTGAAGGTTTCTTTAGGATACTCGGATACAATGAATAGAAATAAGAAATAAAGAATTAAATATAAGGAATTAAGAACAAAAAGTTATTTTTCAATCAACATAAGAACACCTTGGTATCTTTTGATTGTGTACTAAAGCATGAACTCCTATGTCAAAATTCACACACACATGCACAATTTTTCACTTCAAATTCTTTATTACAAATATTTTTAATTTCTTGTTGCTTATTTCTTTTATTTGTATCTGAGCTCTTACTATGTGAAATTATAATGCTTTTGGGGTAAAAGCTACTTTACAACCGACAACTGTTCCGCGGACGTGCATTCGACGAATATTGACCGATAAAATTTATTGCAGAAATGGCTACGCGGAGGCTGTGTCCGATCGATTGTGCTCGCAATACAAATTCCGGCCCAGCGACAAGTACGTGCCTATGATGCCTCTGAGCATGAACAAATAAATTCCGGAAATGCGAGAAGAACGAAAAAAACCAGCAAAGATTGATGCCTAGTACACCGACCATATCATTTATATTATCAAATTATCATCCCCATAGTCGCGCCCCAACGTCATCTCGAACGTACCATTCTTAGAAATTAAGTTGCAATAGACCTTTCACAACGTGACAACTGTAAATGTTATTCGTAATTTCCGGACGGTGGAGTTCCCTCAATCCCTCGATTGTACATATTAATTTTATTTTTATAATAATATAACTGAGTAACTAGTTATATGTAAAAGAAGGATATTTAGATGCTAATTGATTTTCTTTATGTCATAGACTTCCTCTATAAAAGTATATGATAGAAATAGGATTGCTTTTTACAAAGCAACGACATGACGATATTTAATGCCTTCTTCCCATTATTATCGAGAGTGATAAATATAATGTGATTGAACGTTTAAATTGTGTTAGTGAAATGATATAGTATTTTGCATAGTGTATTTATCACATGCGTGCCATAATTTACAGTATTTAATTTTTCATTTACCGATTAAATATGCCGGACTTGTAGTCTCTATGTTTCCTCCATTATGAAGGAAACATGTCTCCAAAAAAATAGGATGATATATGCGATGAATATTATCTGTATCTCTTAATAGTTGTTTTGAAATATTATATTCAAAGGCAGCTAAATCTGTAGTAGAAATCAAATTGTTCTTTTTTTTTAATTAATTACGTTGATAGATTTCCACACGTAGAACGGTATTCGTAATTCGATTTTGTGCTCAAGATCATCTCTTTTGCGAAATGGTACAATTGTATATCTCGAGATTGCATTTAAAACTTGATTGATTTCAAATATAAGATCAGATTATGAATGCTATTCTATAAATTTTGTCCATGAATTTCTTCCCTATTAATTTATAAAATAAGAAAATAATTTTTTGAACAAATTCCGATTTTAATTTAATCGTGATTAATTTATCATGTAATATATACTTGTACTATTTCATTAATTAAGTTAGAAACATCGATCTTTTTATTTATTAACACACAAAAAATAAAAACAACGAATTATATAATTTGAAATTTTATTTTAAGGACTTCTGTTGTTAAATTAATCGCCAATTAAATCGCAATTAAGATCAATGTCCTTTTAGGAAAATATAATATATTATCAAGTGTCTGCATTGTAAAGTGTCTCAAAACATTTATATATTATCATTTTTATAAATATTGATTTTTCAATATGATTTTTCACTTCACATATCTAATGTAGGAGATAGATCCAA